GAAATCGATCGTACCGTCATTAATACCGTTCGCCGTACGGCTGCAGATCACCAGTCCCTCAGTCATTGAAATAGAGCTTAACGTTGCTTATCAAAATAGCTTATAATAAAATCACCTCGCAAAAAACGTTGTTTCAATAAAATCCATTCTCAAAAAACGTTGTTTCAATAAAATCAACTAGCACTAAATGTTGTTTCAATTAAATCGACTGACAATAAACGTTGTTTCAAAAAAATCAACTCGCACTAAAGGTTGTTTAAAAGAAATCAATTGGCAATAAGCGTTGTTTCAATAACATCGACTTACAATAAACGTTGTTTCAAAAATATCAATTCGCTATCAACGTTGTTTCAATAAACTCAATTCGCAATAAACGTTGTTTCAAAAAATCAACTCGCTCCTAAGGTTGCTTAAATAAAATTAATTGGCAATAAGCGTTGTTTCAATAAAATCCACTCGCAATAAACGTTGTTTCAATAAAATCAATTCGCAATAAACGTTGCTTCGAAAAAATCCACTCGCAATAAACGTTGTCTCAAAAAATTAACTCGCACTAAAGGTTGCTTCAATAAAATCAATTGGCAATAAGCGTTGTTTCAATAACAGCGACTTACAATAAACGTTGTTTCAATAAAATCAATTGGCAACAAACGTTGTTTCAATAAAAAAAAACACTCGTAATAAACGTTAGATAAAAATAATCAGCTCGCACTAAAAGGTGTTTCAATAAAATCAATTGGCAATAAACGTTGTTTAAAAAAAACACTCGTAATAAACGTTGTATAAAAAATATCAACTCGCAATAAACGTTGTTTCAATAATCAACTCGCACAAAAAGTTGCTTCAATAAAATCAATTGGCAATAAGCGTTGTTTCAATAACATTGACTTACGACAAACGTTGTTTCAATAAAATCAATTCGCTATCAACGTTGTTTCAACGACATTTGCATGGAGCAGCAGTTTGGCGCGGCGGGGCGTCCAGTTCCCGCGCTATGCCGGCGCCTGGAGTCAACATGGGAAAGTTAAGAAGAACGTTCAGAGATATCCTGGAACTATTGTCTGCAGAATTGAGCAAAAAAAATTCCGAAGTAGAAAACTCTGAAATTTTTTGATTTTAATAGAGTTTTTGATGCTGAATGGAATTTAACATAGAGCTAATTTTCCTTTCCTAAATTAAAATTTCTTGCCATCGATTTCACTGCTTTACGCTGTTACCAATGACATTAGGTAGATATTGAAAATATATATAAAATCTTTTTTTGCCTGGTCTATTCTATGATTTAAACATTTTCAGTCTATAATATGGTTAACATATTTTCATTCATTTCTTCATTAATAAAACACATATGAGAGACAACAGCTGACAGTTCCGCTGATCAGCAACGGGAATGCGCGTCCGGCACCTGCGCACCGACGTCGTCTCCGCCAATCAGAGGCTGCGGTAAAGTCGTGTTGTCATCCCCGTCGTGTCAACGGCCGGCGTAACGCGCCAGGCTCGGTGATTACCTACGAGAGCTAACGCTGCGTGTTACATTTCATATTCTCGTCTGAACAGTCGTAACAACAATGCTTGAGACTCCACGAATAGCGGTAAAAACAGTTTTAAAAAAAACTTATAGTACGTTTGATAGACCAGCAACAAGACCAAAAACTTCCGTATAGAAACTTAACCGCATTAGTAGAACCAACAAAAGTAACAGGAATGCAGGTATCAACAGCAGCATTAGGTGCTGTTTTGTTCCACCATAATGAAATTATAATGAAAAGTATTATTGAGGCATTATACCATTTTTTCGTCGGTATTTCATTCACTTGAAAAACTCTAAGTGATTTGTGGAAACGAAAACAATAAGGATCTCTGTAATATGAGTGATCTCTACCGATCAGGATTCTTATTTAAAAATAATTCCCACCTCCGATTTGACAGAAAAAAAGTCCTTAGTGACAAATCTGAACGGTTTTAATAGGCAAGTGATAATATTTTCAGGGAATTTCCCGAGAGATGACAACTCGCGCATCAGGATGCAGTACGCTGCACGCCCAGCTCATGGAAGCTGGCTGAATTACTTTCAGCTTTTAGCCTCAGATAGATAAGATAAACAGCTAAAACTACTTTCAGCTCCATACGTATATGCAGGCTGAGTTACTTTCAGCTTTATATGTAATATAAAGCTGAATATGTTTATGCGGGCTATCAGCTTTCATCTCAGTTAGCTTCTATATAGAATAGTAATTCCAACGCTGGAATTTTACTTCTGAAGCTGTAAGATTCACTTCCTACGCTAGAGTACTTCTAAAGCTGTGAGATTCACTTCCAACGCTGGGAGCTTCACTTCCACTTTTAGGTCGACGAACTCTGGTGCCCACGCGGCCGACCTCGGGGCGCCTCCTCGAGCTCGCGTTATCATTTTTATATTCCCGTCAACCACTAGTAACATCACTACCACTTGCGGCTCCAGTGACCGCTTGTGACGATGACAACAACTTACAATTGCGGCAGTCACTTAATTGCGATGAAGTGACGTATGAATAAATTACAATGTTGGCCACCATTACTTCGGACACTGATAATAGCGGTAACTCCTGGCGCCACTCCAGGCTATAGCGACCACTTACAACAGCGACGGAGCCTAGATACAAAACGCTAGAAGGTAAATTTTACATCCTTATTCAATGGAAAATTTATTGAATTATTCATTGAGGACCGCACTTGATATTAATTTATATCCTTTTTACAGCTGACAGCACCGATCGAGTATGCAGGTTGAGTGGAGCGACCATGTGTATGAAGCGCTGTTATCAGTTGATTCTGTATCGCCACAGAACCGCAGCCAGTACGTTGTGCACCTCTAAACCACTGCACCGACGACACTGCACTATCAATGCTGCACCCATACAAATTAGCGCAGCAGCACTGCATTACTGCTCCGCCTCACTATCATTTGCCACACACTGCGGCATAACAGCACCACTCTACCCCACGGTATCATTGCACCGTAACTGCCACAGTACAGCAGCACTGCACCCCTCCACCACCGCACTGTAGGGCTGACCCAGTAACAGACGTCGAGGGCATTTCCGCAGGCTTCAGGTCGCTCACCTCAGCAAGTCTGACTAACTGAAGGTTAACGAACCTGAGTACCTGAGAACGAACCAAGCCTCGCCTCATGTCTACCGGTCAGTGACTTGCAGAGCTGGTCGTTGACATGTAGCGCTGATCAATGACTTTTGCAACGCAGGTCAGTGACATGCAGAGGAGGTCGTTGACCTGTAGCGCTGATCAATGACTTGCAGAGCAGGTCGTTGGCCTGTAGCGCTGCTCAATGACTTGCAGCGAAGGTCAATGACTTGCAGAGCAGGCAGTTGAACAGTTTAATAAGTGAATGCTTATCGTCTACAACAGTGGTTCCCAAACTTTTTCAGGCTGGCGCCCCTAGCTTTGGCTCGAGAGTGAATCTCCAGCGCCCCCCCCCCAACAGACACACATAAAAACAAACGCCTCTTTCTTGATATTTAGTATGCAGCAATTTTAAAAGAGAAAGGTTAACCGCAAATGTGTATTTCAAAAATAGAGCCCCATTTAGTAAACCAATATATTTTTTCACAGTTTTAACTGTTTCAGCACCAGAAATTCAAGACGGCTCGGACAAATTTACGGCCGGACTAGTGGTCGGTCTCGCAGCCGGTCTCTCGGCCAATCTCCAAATTCAGTGATCAAGGAATATCTCCCAAACGAATTAACGCCGCTCGTTAAAACTTGGAACACGTGTTCATTAGGACCTAACGGTGATATTTAGCTCGTGACAAATTTTAAATTTCACCTTCATTCGGAAGTTATATGGCAATACGGGCCGAAATTCGCAGTGATCAAAGAATTTCTTCCAAACTACTGAACAGATTCGAACGAAATTTTGAATATAAATTAATAACTATACCAAACGGTGATTTTTAGCTCGTGAAAATTTATTCGATTCGGAGTCATGTTCTACATGTGTTATGTACAAAATACACATCGTCAAACAAACGTACGAACTTCTGATTTCGACTTCGCGGACTGCCGCCCCCAAACTGCCCCTTTATTCCTCACCGCCCCCCCCCACCAGATCTTTCCACTGCCCACAGGGGGGCGATATCGCCCACTTTGGGAACCACTGGACTCTACAAGTAACCAGGCACAAGTTAATGTCATCGCGTAAATTGACTAACTAGTGAGAGAATAAGAGATTCTACTTGCAGACACAGCGACTATAGAAGCAGCGTAAACGGCAGCAAGAATAGCAGCAAGAACAGCAGCAATAAGCGCAAAAATAACAGCAGCCATAACAACAGGAATAGCTGTATGAACAGCAGTAATCACGGTAGCAGAAACAGCAGCAATAACAGCAGCAGATAACTGCAGCAATAACAGCAGCAGATAACTGCAGCAATAACAGCAGCAGATAACTGCAGCAATAACAGCAGCAGATAACTGCAGCAAGAACAGCAGCAAATAACTGCAGCAATAACAGCAGCAGATAAGTGCAACAATAACAGCATAAGATCATATTACGGATTATGTGTACGAATATCTTGCTGGTCCGCAATTTTCATAACTTTTACTTGCGGACATAAATGTCCCAATCCTGTTGCTGATCAGTTCGTTCCGAGGGAGCGCAGCCGTGCACCACCAATTTTGTGCACCAACAAGCCCAGAATCGAACGCCTTGGATCTCTCCGGACATCCACCAATCGACCGTGAACCACTCGGCTTTGTCCACCTCCGGCCTGGCATAAAACCTGCCGAGAACCACCAGGCCGCGGATCGAATATGACTTCCGGGCATCGTTAAATTACGTAATTCTACGTTCACCGTATCTAAGGTTAGGTTTCAGATAGCAAAGTTTTGTTCCAAAATTTATCGTCCTTCGACGAGTGACCGTTCGACCGAGGGCTGGTTCGACCCACGGCTTAGATACGGACGGCTTGAAGTGTTGAAGGCTACGTTCCGGAAGGCAGGAATCATGATGGTCCAATACATCCTGGGCAGTGGTGGTCTTGGTAATTTTGGTAAAGCAGGAAGGGAAAAAACAGCGAGTGAGGGCTCAGAGGAGCGGGAAGTGGAAGCGAATAAGCAGAAAAGTGGAACTGGAAGAGTATGGGAGTGGAAGAGTAGGGGAGTGGAAGAGTAGGGAAGTGAAAAAGTAGGGAAGTGGAAGAGTAGGGAAGTGAAAAAGTAGGGAAGTGGAAGAGTAGGGAAGTGGAAGAGTAGGGGAGTAGAAGAGTAGGCGAGTGGAAGAGTAGATGAGTGGGAGAGTAGGGAAGTAGAAAAGTGGGGAAGTGGAAGAGTGGGGGAGTGGAAGAGTAGGGGAGTGGAAGAGTAGGGAAGTGGAAGAGTAGGGAAGTGAAAGAGTAGGGAAGTGGAAGAGTAGGGGAGTGGAAGAGTGGGGGAGTGGAAGAGTGGGGGAATGGAAGAGTGGGGAAGTGGAAGAGTGGGAAAGTGGAAGAGTAGGGGAGTAGAAGAGTAGGGAAGTGGAAGAGTAGGGAGCTGGAAGAGTGGGGGAGTGGAAGAGTGGGAGAGTGGAAGAGTGGGGGAGTGGAAGAGTAGGGAAGTGGAAGAGTAGGGGAGTAAAAGAGTAGGTAAGTGGAAGAGTGGGGAAGTAGAACAGTGGGGAAGTGGAAGAGTAGGGGAGTAAATAAGTAGGGAAGTGGAAGAGTGGGGAAGTGGAAGAGTGGGGAAGTGGAAGAGTAGGGAAGTGGAAGAGTAGGGAAGTGGAAGAGTAGGGGAGTAGAAGAGTAGGGGAGTGGAAGAGTAGAGAAGTGGAAGAGTGGGGAAGTGGAAGAGTAGGGGAGTAGAAGAGTAGGGAAGTGGAAGAGTAGGGAAGTGGAAGAGTAGGGAAGTGGAAGAGTAGGGAAGTGGAAGAGTGGGGAAGTGGAAGAGTAGGGGAGTAAATAAGTCGGGAAGTGGAAGAGTGGGGAAGTGGAAGAGTAGGGAAGTGGAAGAGTAGGGGAGTAGAAGAGTAGGGGAGTGGAAGAGTAGGAGAGTGGGAGAGTAGGGAAGTGGAAGAGTAGGGAAGTGGAAGAGTAGTGGAGTAGAAGAGTAGGGAGGTGGAAGAGTAAGGAAGTGGAAGAGTAGGGGAGTAAAAAGTAGGGAAGTGGAAGAGTGGGGAAGTGAAAGAGTGGGGAAGTGGAAGAGTAGGGGAGTACAAGAGTAGGGGAGTAGAAGAGTAGGGGAGTGGAAGAGTAGGAGAGTGGGAGAGTAGGGAAGTGGAAGAGTAGGGAAGTGGAAGAGTAGTGGAGTAGAAGAGTAGGGAGGTGGAAGAGTAAGGAAGTGGAAGAGTAGGGGAGTAAAAAGTAGGGAAGTGGAAGAGTGGGGAAGTGAAAGAGTGGGGAAGTGGAAGAGTAGGGGAGTACAAGAGTAGGGGAGTAGAAGAGTAGGGGAGTGGAAGAGTAGGAGAGTGGGAGAGTAGGGAAGTGGAAGAGTAGGGAAGTGGAAGAGTAGGGAAGTGGAAGAGTGGGTAAGTAGAAGAGGGAAGAGTGGGGCAGTGGAAGAGTGGGGCTGTGGAAGAGTGGGGAAGTGGAAGAGAAGCAAGTGGAAGACAAGGGAAGTGGGAAGTGGAAGTGAGTACAGCGCGCAGGCTGAAAGTAAAAGAGCGCGGGCGGGTGACGTTGCAGCGACGTTGGTTCGTTCACCCGCGCCATGCCGTTACTTGCCTGACCTGCGCTACACTGCCGTTACTGCCGCTGCTACGGCGGCAGTGAGCGGCAACACTGCCGTTACTGCTGCTGCTACGGTGGCAGTGAGCGGCAACACTGCCGTTACTGCTGCTGCTACGGCAGCAGTGAGCGGCAACACTGCCGTTACTGCTGCTGCTACGGCGGCAGTGAGCGACAACACTGCCGTTACTGCTGCTGCTACGGCGGCAGTGAGCGACAACACTGCCGTTACTGCCGCTGCTACGGCGGCAGTGAGTGGCAACACTGCTGTTACTGCCGCTGCTAGAGGCAGTAGTGTCACTGCAGACACTCACAGACGAGGCAGTAACCAGTAATTCCATAAGCAAGTATCACGTCACGCTGGTCAGGAATATAAGACATGCTACAGCCCTGCAATTCATGCAACGCCTGCACGTTATACAAACTCACAGCCGAGCAAACAATGGCCCTGAGATTCATTACCGCGCTGTTAGAATGTAAACAAAACAGTACGAGCCACGTCACTATTTCCTGGAATCACTGAATTGCGTTGCAATCTGCCGGGAAGAGATAATTTGTTCTAAACCGTGAGCAGTTGATTGTGATTCAATGTCTGTTTATGTGACAGGCTGCTACGCTATACTGGCTCATGTGAAGCCATGGGACCTTCCACTGGCTCATGTGAATGCATGCGACATTTTACATGCTCATGTGAAGCCATGCGACACTCTACTTGCTCATGTGAATCGATGCGACACTCTACTGGCTCATGAGAGTCCATGCGACACTCTACTGGCTCATGTGAATCGATGCGACACTCTACTGACTCATGTGAGTCCATGCGACACTCTGCTGGCTCATGTGAAAACACATGAAGACATAACTCTCTGCCCTAGCTGTGAATCTATAGTAACTAACCTACCTATATTTCTAGAGACACATTCAGCCACTCCTCTAGCTGTATATTTACCGGCTGTTCTAGCTGCATATATAATGACAGTCTTAACTGTATATTTAGTGACTATCTTAGCAGTATATCTAGTGACTATCTTAGCTGTACATATTTACCAGATGTCCTATTTGCATATCTAGCGACTACTCTAGCTGTAGCTGCAACCCTAGATACATAACCTCTCTATCACAAGCAAGCTACCGCCGGAAGTCAAAGTCCTGCGGCAGCCAAATGAAGAGCAACTCGATGCGATGAGCAAACTTATCACGTAGCGGGGCAAGGTTTCTCTTCAATGAGGTCAGAGTACGAACTAATGCTGATCGAGATGGTGCTGAAGTGATGAAGTGATGATGAGGTGATTGCCAGGCATTCAGAGGTGATGATGAGGTGATTTCCAGGCATTCAAAGGTGATGCTGAGGTGACTATGTTACTTGTATGTATGTTAATGGCAAATTAACACGATGCTGCAGTTTATTTTATCATAAACCTTTTCTAAAAAGATGCAGCGAAATTAATTGCGAATACGGAACCGTATACTAGTTGAGGAATCAACTTGCATCCTGGCAAACTGCCAACTCGTGATTGAATTCTCAGATCACGATTATTATGCAAGTAAATCCTAGAGTAAACTCTAGCTGTGAAATTCAAGGCTATTGCTTCACCGCATACCGAATGGGGACATTGAAAACGGTACTGATGCTGCCACTATCGGTTCCAGTCCGTGTTGCACTGCCTCTCAGGCAGCTGTAGATTATATTGTTATTAATACTGCTACTAATACGTTTTTATTGGGATGCCTTAAACAGAATTTTTCAACCGAGTTGCATTTAAATGCAAAGTTTACCAGAGCCAGTTACATTATTATCATTTCTTCCAGAAAGACATGTCACTATAATTAACAAAATAAGGAGACTTGAACGGCTCAACGGAAGTTATCCTGGCTTTGGATTATCAAGACGACTGACCACAAGCAGGGCTCGTACGTCATACAAATCTCCTGCTCGAGGGGTAACTCAATTGTTGTGCGATAGCGCGACCTTCATCTCGATCTCTAAGTTAAGCTACATTTGATGGGCGTGAAGAATTTATGTAAAATCTTTTAATCCTGATGTGAAGGAAATTCGTATTAGAGTTGATTATATAATAACTGTTGCTTCTCTATTCCAGCATGAATTAATCTCATATATGCAGAGCTGGGCAGCGCTACTTTGAAATGTAGCGGCGCTACCGCTACCGCTACATGCCCTAAAGGTAGCGGGCGCTACCGCTACCGCTACGCCCACTAGATTGCAGCGAGCGCTACCGCTACCGCTACAGTAAAATGTAGCGCCGTTACATTAGCCGCTACAATGGCCAAAATTATTGGAAACCTCTAAATATTTATTGTTCTGCTATTAGGATTTACTCATAAACATTTAATGATAATGAAACATTTTCAAGCCATATCAATGCAACTTTATTGCAATTAACCTAACCGAACTAGTGCGGGTTAGATACAGTAAATAAAAGTTAGTTATTTTAATGTTTTACCTTCCTTACATGGATGTCTACTTGAATCTACCAATCTCAAAAATTATCCACATATACATATAAAAATCAGTCTTTTATTTGTATATATATATATATATATGTGGATTATTTTTGAGATTGGTAGAAAAAAGTAGACATCCATGTAGGGTAGGTGAAACATAAAAATAACTGCGTAAAAATAACTGTAAGCAAACTGAAACATGAAAAAATACCTGAAAGTGGTAACTGGTAACAACTTAACAAGTAACAACTAACATGTTGACACAAGTAACAGGCTGAGGTTGACTTTTTGACTTTTTTGACCCAAACTTTTTCAGGCTGGCGCCCCCTTTGGCTCCCTAGTGAATTTCTAGCGCCCCCCACAGACACATATAAAATCATACGCCTCTTTCTTGAAATTTAGTACGCTGCAATTTTAAAAGATAAAGGTTAAACACAAATGTGTATTTCACGAATAAAACCCCTTCTAGTGAACCAATATGTTTTTCAGCTGTTTTAACTGTTTCAGTACTAGAAACCTAGGACGTCTCGAGCAAATTTACGGCCGGACTCGTGGCCGGTCGCACGACCAATCTCAAAATTCAATTATCAATTAATATCTCCCAAACTAATGAACGCAGATTAATAAAACTTGGAAAACGTATTCATCATAACCTAACGCGGATTTTTAGCTCGTAAAAATTATTAAATTTTACCTTCATTCGTGAGTTATATTGCGATACAGGCCAAAATCCGCAGTAATCAGAGTATTACTTCCAAACTACTGAACAGATTTGAACGAAATTTTGAAAATACATTCCTTACTACCAAACGGTGATTTTTTAGCTTGTAAAAATTTTAGATTTTACCTTCGTTTGCGAGTTTTTTTTTTTTTATTTCACCGTCATTCTTGATTTCACACTTCCTTATATTCTGCCCGTATCGCCGGATAATTAGTCGCTTAAATTCGCGGCGATCAAGAAATTTCTTCTAAACTAATGAACAGATTTCAACGAAACTTTATATATAAATACCTAACCTCCCAACGGTGATGTTTAGCTCGTGACAATTTTTCTATTTTGCTTTCGTTCGCGAGTTATACAGATATAGGAGGAACGACTGGCTTTTCTACCGGACGGTTTAACCAGGAGCCGTTCACGTATATCCGTATATCGTATAGCCGTATAACTCGCAAACGAAAGCAAAACGAAAAATTTGTAGCGAGCTAAACATCACCGTTGCTGAGGTTAGGTATTTAAATACTAAGTTTCGTTCAAATCTATTCACTAGTTTTGGAAGAAATTTCTTGATTGTACGTATTTAAGCACGTATTGTTGTTTAAATCACGAATGAAGGTGAAATGAAAAAAAAAACTCGCGTACAAAGACGCAATCGAATAAATTCTCACGAGCTAAACATTACCGTTCGGTAGTTAGGACTGTAAATTCAAAATTTTGTTCGAATCTGTTCAATAGTTTGGAAGAAATTCCTTGATCCCTGTGAATTTCAGCCCGTATTGCCATATAACTGTGGTAAAAAAATTAAGGCAGAATTAAAAAAAATTTCACGAGCTAAACATTATTGTTAGATCCTAATGAATACGTGTACCAAGTTTCATGGAGTTAAGTTCAGTAGTTTGAGAGATATTCCTTGATCATTGAATTTGGAAATTGGCCGCTATATAGTCCGGCCGTTAATTTGTCCGAGACGTAAACCCAGGAGAGGTTAAAAAAGCAGATCTGGGTGAAAAAACCATCGCTGGGAGTCATGTGCTGCACGTGTTGTGTACAAATCGTCTAACAAACTTTGGAACTTCTGACTTTGACTTCGGACTGCCGCCCCCCCCCTACCGCCCCCAAACGCCCTCTTCTTCCTTACCGCCCCCCAAAATCTTTCTACTGCCCCTAAGGGGACGATATCACCCACTTTGGGAACCACTGATCTAAAGGCTTAATTTATAAATGTAGCGGTAGCGCTGTAGCGGCAAAACCTCGTATCGCTACTTAAATATGTAGCGGGCGCTACCGCTAACGCTACATTGCCTTAGAAGTAACGCCGCTACCGCTACCGTCACTGAAAATGTAGCTGCCGCTACATGTAGCGCGCTACTGCCCACCTCTGCATATATGTCATTGATATCATCTTATATTACATAGCCACGAAAAATGTACAACATCAAAAAGATTTCGTTTTTGTTTGATGTTATTGGCAATTAAGTTACGTCACCACACGCTCATGTGACGTCACCACACGCTCATGTGACGTCACCACACGCTCATGTGACGTCACCACACGCTCATGTGACGTCACCACACGCTCGTGTGACGTCACCACACGCTCATGTGATGTCACCACACGCTCATGTGACGTCACCACACGCTCATGTGATGTCACCACACTCTCATGTGACGTCACCACACGCTCATGTGACGTAACCACACTCTCATGTGACGTCATCACACGCTCATGTGACGTCACCACACGCTCGTGTGACGTCACCACATGCTCATGTGACGTCACCACACGCTCATGTGATGTCACCACATGCTCATGTGACGTCACCACACGCTCATGTGACGTCACCACACTCTCATGTGACGTCATCACACGCTCGTGTGACGTCACCACACGCTCATGTGACGTCATCACACGCTCATGTGACGTCACCACACTCTCATGTGACGTCACCACACGCTCATGTGACGTCACCACACGCTCACCTTGTCAGGAATGTGCGATGCACGGGGAAAATCCGTGCGATGGCATATATATATGCCTCCTAGGAAGCATTTGAAGCAGAGACTATATATTTCTGTCCCGACAAAGCACGTTGAAATAACGTTGATTACGAGTTAATTA